CTGCCTTCAGCAGAGCTCTTGTAGGCGGTGTCTTGTGGACGCTCGCTTGAGGATCCCCCCTCCTTCCTCGTGTCTAACCCTGGGAATAGGCTCTGACTTCCCCTTCTCCCTCCTGGGATGCTCCGAGTTCCGCAGCCGCACAATTCACCGGGAAACACAGGAACAAGAGTTCCAGAGAAAGAAAAACCTGCCAATCCATTTGGTATTTCCATGGTGTTTGCTGGTTAACTTCCAGGCTTTTCTCTTTGTGCGGTACGTATTGTGGCTCACATCGCAGAAACTGAAGTGAAATACTTAAGTAAATGAGTCCCCTTGGGAAGACTCCAGGCAATGGGGAGATGACTGCTCAGTGACCTGTGCAGCATCCTGGGTACACGGGGAGTTTCCCGTAATGATAAGACTACAAAGGAATATTTATTTATCTAGATACTTATTCAGCTTTCATCTCTGGCAGTGTTTCTCAATCAGCCATTTCAAAATGTTTTGCCAACGCTAATTAACCCTTGCAACACCTCTGCGGTAGGGATCAGCATCCCCACGTCACAAACGGGGTGACTGAATGGAGAAGACAAGTAACCCCTTCACATCACAAACTGGGTGACCAAGGAGCGGAGAAGACAAATAACCCCTTCAAAAAAGAAAGTAAGAGAGCAAAGAAATAATGATATCCTGAAATCCCAATCCCATGTCCTAACAAAACCACCCCCTACAAGCCCCTGCATCTGCAGACATCCTGTTGGAAACGCAGGCAGCAACCTGCCATTCTTACCATGAAAGCTGCCTTTCTCGGCTGTGCACCGAGGAAGCACGTCCAGACATTTAATAAGCCCCAAAAACATGGTGCCCTGAAGCAACATTACACAACCCAGAAACCCCTAACGAGCTGCAGCACTGGGCAGCCACACAACCTACACCACCAGGCAGATTTTCCCATGATGTTGCACATGCTATTTATTCCATTCATTAACCAAGTTAATGGTGGCTAAGAATAGACCCCAGATGTCCTTCTGGCCTTAAAAACTTGTTTGCCCTCAAGGAAATGCAAAGCCTAAGTGGCTTATGGCATGTGTGGGACACAATGAATGAACCAAAGCTATGAAGAGCTTGCACATTTCCAAGAATTCACAGAATACATCTCTGGTTTTAAATAACCTCTGTTCCAGTTTGGGGAAATAAGTGTTTAGCTAGGATAGCACGGAACAGAGCAATGGATATATAAATGTATCACTCATTGATACAGACATTACGCTAGACAGAGCCATAGCTGTTCAAAGGTCTTAGTTTTCTGTTATCTATTTCTGTGATGTTACCACTGCGGCAAATTCACAATTCTGTAATAAACTGGTATTTCTGAACAAAGACGATTTGATATTATGCCTTTAGAAAAATGCATCTTAAGTACAATTTATTCCTGAATTTTTTTTTTTGGTAATGGAAATTATTCTATAGTCTCATTTTTTATACATATTCCCCAATACATTTGGGAAATTTCCCAAAACATACTAAAGATAGCACTATGGTTTTCTGCATCACTGCTAAAAATCAAAGCATTCATGTGCAGAATAAAGAGAAATTTCTTTCTGTATAAGCATTTTCCTTCTGTTGCTGAATCCAGTCTTTTGATAATCAGCAATTACAGAAAAGAACTATAACAATCAAATGGGAGTTTGCACTCACAGAAATCATGCTATTTATTGCATGAGTTATTCAGATGGAGAAAGCTGGAAACCTATCGGTAAATGAAAGAAACCGCTATTTCAGAAAGCTGAAATTGTATTAATACAGAGTCTAAAGAGCCTAGAGAAGAACACAATCCATTTGGAACTGATTTGGTCTTCTCAGAAACAGGAAAGAGAAAATATGGGGATTTAAGGATCTTTTCCTCCTTTTAAATGTATTGCTTTTTTCAACTGATATTTTATCAAACCATCTTCAGTATTATATGGTATTATGGAACATGATATTTGGGATTCAATAGCAGTATTGACTTGGGGAACCTCCAGTAAATAACAGTTCATTCACCCATACCACACATAGCCTCCAAACTGTGACTGTTCAGACTTTACAAATAGAAGGACCAAGGCAGAGACTGTAAGTCACACAGTGACTAAAAACTACAGTCATTTCCACACTCAGGAGCTCCAGCTCCCATTTCCTCAACCCACTGCTTTGCTTGCAGAGATGGGGTTAAATATCCGATTCCCAGGCCATGTGGACTGAAATAATGAATAAAGAACCCAGCAAGCCAGGGAGACCTCTTCCACCGCAAAAGTTTTCTTCCTTTTCCATCCTGTCGTCTGGTTTGAACTTCAGCAAGCTGCCTGCTCGGGAGACCTACCGATGTGCCTGCATTGCAGCCAGGCAGGTGATTCTGTGAAGCCTCCCGCGGTGGCCGGGCTCCAGGAGGACCCACCTGGCTCAGCCCCGCTCCATCGGGGCAGGGGCACTTGTCCCAGCCGCAGGGGAGCCAGACCTAGCGCCAGAAGGGAGCGATGCATCCCTCCCACGCGTGCGGGTCAGATGCTCCCAGGCAACGGGAGTGCAGGTTTCCATGGCAGTGCAAACAAGAGGCGGTGAAAGCCCGGAGCTGAGCCGAGCTGCGCCGCGGCCACGGCCACGGCCACGGCCACGTCCACGTCCCCATCTGACCACAGCCCCCCTGTGGAGAGGAGCCCAGAGGAGCTCTTCTTTGGGTGAGAAACCAAAAAATAAAGGGGGTGAGGGCAATCACAGCAATTTCTTTTCTGTTTTCGACATCAGATACAGCGCCTCACTCAGACAAGCGGAGGTGCTGGCGTGTGTCACGGGGAAATCACACGCACTAACCATCTCCTTCTCCGTGTGCAAGTGGCGGGGTATGTATTGGGAAATGGGACACATCTGTCCCTGGAAGAGTTGCTCTGTAGCTCAAAACTTGAGGTGGTTTCCCAGAGAGCATAATGAGCCTTCTCTGCAAGCGATGGTATCATTTAAATAATTTGAGTGTATAAAACATATGCTTATTCATTGCTCTGGGAACATGGTGGATGGGTTTTATTGTATTTTTTTTAGAACTGTTTGCATGTTTACTTTGGCATATTTTTTTCTGTGCAGCAGCTTGATGCTAGGGAAAAGCACTGAATAAATGTTTCCGTAAATTAAAACCATAAACGCCTTATCTACTGATTCACATACTACTGGCCATTGGTATGTAGCTACTGAAACATAAAAATGTCAGAGGCAGTGAAATATATGCCAAATGATTCTAGCAACAAAACAATTTTTTATTTGCATTATTGAGCTTAATAATTATAATTAGCACAACTAGCGCTTCTGTAGCTTTTGGCATTATTTCCAGAGTGACGTGCAAACAATCTATTAAAAAAACCCCAACAACGTCAAACCATAAATACCTTGATAAAATGAATATTTATAAGTTAACCTTAGAAACAAATTCCTATGCTTCACTAAAATTATATTATAAAGCACTGTTTATCTCTGAGAGTTTCACTGACAATTATTTTCCATATGCCAGTATCCTCTGCCTAGTCCTGCTTTTCAGTCCCATTCCTTGTAGCAGGAATTTAAATCAACTACATGAACGAGAAGATCTCTATGAGAAGGGTTTTAGATTACAGAAGTCAAGGTGCGCACTAAGAGGGCTGAACATCCAGGTATTTGCTGCAACAGCTCTGCATATTTCACAGAGTGTATTCAACTGAACGCTGCAGGCGTTTGACTGCCTTCCTACCCCTGCCCTGATGGGGTTTTCTCCAAAACTCACGTCATCAGCAGGGGTTATGTTGTTCCAGGATGTAGACGAGGGTCCCCTAGAGCGAAATATCCCATTAAGTTATACGAAGTTCAGAGAGACATGAAATCTAAACTACCAGTCAAGAAGGCTTTTGGAAAAGGTGCTTCAAGAACTGAGAAGGAGAGAGAAAACATTTGGGATGTATTAAAACAGCCTAAATTCTACCTCAGCCTCTGTGTCAAACAGTGAAAGTTTGACACCTCCAAAGAATAAGATGCTAATTGGGCAGCTGCAGAAACAGAACCAATAGGAAACACAAAGCATCGAGGACGCACATGGAAATTAGGCCAGATGAGTTTAGCTCAAAATACATAAAAACTGGAGGCTGTTCAGAGCAAAAAACGATGCTCTAAAATAGCCTTAAAACTAGTGCAAGCGGAAGAGAATATTTTCTGCTGTGTCTTATACCAGTGCAGATCAGGAACGGTCCCAGCAGCAGAATTGCATCAATTGAACTAATACCTCACTGGGACCCAGCTTGCTGCCCTTGTTGATTAGAGGGTAACTTTAACAATGGTCTATCTGTTCTTTGTAAGCGAGATCGTTACAATTATGCCTTTTCCCCTAGGATCCATAGCAAAGACTACAAAAAGAGACTGGATTCAGAGAAACAAAAACCTAACCTTCAACAGTTTGCCAGCCTAAAATTAAACACGACAGAGTTCTCTACAGCATGTCTGTGCTGTCCAACAATCATTCAGCCTTATCACAAGAAACCCACAGTGCTGAAGCAATTACTGGTAAGAGCTTTAGGGAGTAAAAATGTTGCTTGTGAACCAGCAATGGGAGGATGAAAAAGTATGGGTGTGGATCAAAACAGGAGATGTGGGTGGAACAAGAGGCAAGGGACTTGAGTTGCTTGTTATCTCCAAATTGTTTTGTCTTTGCTTTCCCATCAGTGTGCGTGTAAGGAAGACTATGTTTTACACAGCTTTCACATAAGCCAGGGATTAACATCTCCTTTTTGGAGTCAGAACACAAATATTTTCCAGTTTACTGAAGCTTTTTGTTAATTCCTACAGACACAAAAGGCTCAGTGGTTAAGGTCCAGAAAGCCCCTAGGCCCATCACTGCTGTAAAACCTGCTGCGTCAGTTACTGGCAGGTCCCAGTTGATTGATTTATTTATGGTTTTCCTTGGGCCAGGGTCAAAGATGCCATCTCCACATACAGAGTCAACATCTAAAAGTCTCTCTTCCAAACCTGGAATGGAAACCCAGCCTGTGCTGTCAGGTAAGGTCATGATGCTCCAGCAGCTTTTCGTTGTTAGGTCAAAGGAGAGGACTGTATTCAGACTCTTCTGGCCATGATCAGATGAGACAGGTAAAATAGCTCCAGACTTACAAAAATCCCTGGCTGAAATCCTGAGTTGATCAGCAGATGTGGTCAAGTGACATAAACCATACAGAGGTCTCAGTTACATCACTGGCTTCTTATAAGCCCTATTCAGCTCCCCACTCTTGAGTCAGCATTGTTAGGCATCTGCAGCTGTGAGCACAGCTGCCCACCCTTCAGGCGTGATGCAGCAAAGTCCCTTTGCACTGGGTCCTGATAGTCTGCCTTGCGTCTTCTACATCCTCATCCATTTTTTGCAGAAAGCCCAGAAGAGGAGGAAGAAAACCCCATGAAAAATCCATTTACAATTCCTCCAGATATCGATATTTTCTCAATAAGGGACAAGGAAAGAAAAAAGGCTAAGGCGGTATGTATACATGCTTTAGGCCAATGTATATACAAGCAGTTCACTAGGGCAGGCAACCAACCGATATAATACCAAAATTTAGTGCATGACAGAAATAACAGCTGTCAAATTCAGCTGAGATTCCCCCAGATCAGCTTCAAGTCCACCGAAGTCCATGATGAGAGATTAACTTTGCCAAGAGCAGATCTGAGCACAGGCTTGCTCGTTGCTAGTGCAAAATCTGGATATTGTCACTTTACTTACTTACTTCAAGGTAGATTTACCACTCGCTCCTGTTCCTGGAGAAGATACCTGCCAGTGCTGTTAGCATTGATTTCTACATAAAGCTTTGGTGAAAGATCTTTTGCTTTCCACTTCAACAGGCTTGACTTTCTGCTTGGGACGCTGTATTCCAATGTTTGATGTGACCTTCTTCTGAACTGCCAACAAAATGAATGCCTAGGAAGAAGGATGACATGGGTTTCATGCCTTAGGTTTCTCTCCATAAGATAGGGAATTGCAACCCACCAGACCATAGAGCTGGGTCTCAGGAATGTCTCTTTCTTCCTTATTTCTGCAGTGGACTTTCATTAGAGCATGCAATCCAGAGGGGGTGAGAAGTCATGGAGAGGTTGTCGCATCTCTGAGAGGTCTGATTGTTGCATGTGGTTGCAGAAGCCAGGCAGTAGTGTGGAAGCAAGAGCTCTTTGTTTCTAAATCACAAAGGGAGAGCTCCAAACAAGCTTAAGCAAGCCGCCTCACCTCACATTGATGAATGATAGTCTGGTTTTAGCTTGGGTTGAAGGTCACTATATAAGTATGGGGAAGGGCTTAGAAAGAAGTGCACCAAGGATGTCGGCCGAGTGATGTCCTCAGCCTAACCCATGCCCAAACTGTGCAAAGAGCAATGAAGTACACCTCAGCCCATGTGAAAGCACTGAGCATGAACAACCTTTTACCCTCCAGAAAGCTCTGGAGTGGTTTGAGTAGATCCTCTCAATCTGAACTTGAGGATATACATGCCTTTGTGAAAGTTGGACTGAGTCAGTATTGAGCATGGGCTGTCCTTTTGTTCCCTCTTACTAAGGGACTTGAAGGATGAATCTCTGAAAATTTCCATTCTCTCCCAGGAATAATCCAGGAAGGAAAAATGAGGACACTGAGTAGGTCCAAACTGGCACAGCTGGTGGCTAGATGCAGAATACAAATCAACAAACTAATGAGAACAAATGCTAAGAAATGAAGTGTTTCAGTTGCCTCAAGAGAGAATATCGTTGGGATTAGTCAGATAAACCAGGCAACCATGCATCAGCAGGATATCAGTAGCCTGCAAATTTCTAAACTGTGAATAACGACTCATGTCTTTAAAAACCACAGCAAACAAAGCACATAATCAAACTGTCCACATAACTGACTTCTCCTCATAGGAACGTGAAAGGATGAAGACCATGAAAATCCATGAGAAAATGACTTACTCTGCTAAAATAAAAGCAAAGCAAAAAGGGTTGAGGAAAGCTCTGCAAAAGGAAGAAGAAGAGGAGGGCAGAAAACAGGCAACAAATGAAGAGAGACTGAAAACTCTTCAGGAGAGTCTTTCATGGAAGATAGCCATTAAAAAAGGTAGGGAACAGTTACTATCCTTGTAGCGGTGCTGCTCAGCTGAGTAACAGCCTAAAGTAAAAATCAAAGAGGGGATGGGAGTAGCAGTTAGCTCTAGCTGACTTTGGTGAGCTCTTGCAAACACAATAGTTACATGCTGCATCTTGCCAGCTTACGTGTGGCTGGGCCATCTCCATCTCATGCATTTACATACAGAGCATGTATCACCCCCACCGCAGTAGCCTGGATTCCACCATCCCCTATGGCCTCTGCAGTAGCTGTGAGCTCTGGGAATAGGCTGGGAGTCAGCTGAGAGTTTGCAGGACCTTGTGTCATGCGGACATTTCTACTAAGCTGACCTAAAGTTGGATTTTAGTGGATCCGGGCCTAAACTTTCTGCCTCTGACATGAGGAGTAGCTTTGCCATTAATGTCTAGAGGACATTGACCTTTGTAAGGACCAGATTCTCCACTCCATTCTACCTGGCTTTACTCCATGAAAGCCCATATGAAACTGATCCTAAACAAGGTCAAAACTATAATAAAATAATCAGTATTGCTGGCTCCAATGCCAACCACATCCATGCTCACAGCAGCCTCCGTATTCACTGTGTTTTGCCTTGGCCATATTTCCCCCTCTAGTCTGAGCAACTTTATATCCTCATTTCAGATTACCCATTAGAAAAGGAGACCTTCCGTGACTACATAAATGACAGAAGAGAGGTATTTTTACTTGAGGTATTTGGCTTTAAGAATGTTACTTTCTGTTCGTTTAATTATTCTTCTCTGTGTTGCTTTGTTTTGGTTTTTTCCCCCCCTGAGATCTATTGCCTGGAGATCATACCAAGGAGGCACACATCAGACCTCACGAACTGATTGTCCAAGTCCTGTGTTAAAGACACTCATAGCCTATAGCCCAGCAATCCCAACCAAGAAAGAAGGAACATAGGTCATTTGCACCATCCAGTAGCAGCCAAGCAACTATTTCATTTGTGAGATGCACAGATATACTGACAATTTGGCTCCTGCTGTCCTATACATAAATTATAGCTGGGAGCCGTTCTGAACTCAAAATAAGGGAGCCGTGCTGGAATATCCCCATTACTCACCTCTATTATTGTGCTGTAACACAACTGAATAATCTTTGTCAGCCCAGAGTCAATGCAGTGCTGCGACTACTGGATTCTCTCTTTAATTTCACTGCTTATTTGCTACGTTACTACTGAAATATCTCCTGGCCTCTATGTACCTAGTTTGCACTAAGACACATATTTTAGTTTGAAATCCTTACCCTCTCCGCCAACAACTATAAGGTAATAAGGTAACCAAGAACAAAGCTAAACCAACATACCTTTAAAATCAACCAACCGATGTGACTGTGTTGCCTTTTGCGTTCATTTCAGTATGCCATGGCAGTAAAGCGAGATGAGATTCAAAGGATGGAGAACGTAGCAAAGAACAAGGAAAGAAAACTGGAAAAGGCTGAATACTACCTGGAGAAGGATGCTGCCATGTTTGACGAGTTCCTGAAGGAGAACCACAAAAACTCTGTTCAAGCCCTGAAAATGTAATGGAAGTTGAGAGAACCACTTGTGTGCTTTTTTGCGCTGGACACAGGAGGTCTTTTACTTGACCTCCGCGCAGGGTTTTGGCTAGCAAATGCTCTATGTCTGAGTTTGCTCACAGTTACAGTCCTGATGGCACTTTCCCCCCCCACATTCAATGAAAGAGAGGAAGAACAATAGCTGGGGAATCCCCTCATTACAAAAGCCTTTGATTTGGCTGCAGCAAGGAACCTGCTGTTGACCCCACCACTTCCATTCTTCTCACAACACCCTTACGAGAGGGATATGCTTCTGCCCAACACCTCACAGGAGAAACAGTCCCCTAAGTGAAGCAAGCCGAGCACTTTGGCCCGTTACAGGTATCACAAGGGCAGAGCAGCAATTGATGTTCAGCAGCAGCCAAATTAGGGAGGGCCTTAACCTGGAAGCATCGCTGGAACCCCATACTCTCTTTGCCAAGACAAGCAGGGCCTTCAGGCAGGAGCCAAGCATCACCTGGGATACAACTATAAGAGATATTTGTAGTGCTCCCCCACATCTTTTTCTCTGTTTTATGTGCACCTCACTACCTGCAATTCACTACCCGCTTACTGCTAAATTGTTTTATGGCTTACGTTTATGCATTCTTCCCTAGTGCCGAAAAAGAAACCGCAGCAAAGACAAAGAAAATAACGGAGATCCAGGCAATCACTTCCCAAATAGAGAACCTCCAAAGGTAATGGTTGCACACTATTCCTGCCTAGCCTTTAGCAGCTCCTACAGCGCTATACCCTCACAGCCCTTGGGGGAAAAGGGAATTGAGGAAAAAGATTTCTGAAAATGTTCAATTTTAAGAGTCAAAATGTTTCAGCTTTTGTTTTCCAGATGCTGGCTTTGTTTCTAAAACAACTCAGCTAGTTTTTAAATTATATTTTTTAAAAGTATAAACATTCCAAAACCAAAATTAAATGCTTAGTCTCAGATTAAAAACCAAACAAAACTAGGTAATGCATTTTAATGGTGACCTGGGGAAAGAAAAAAACCCCACCCTATAATTCCCATTATGTGTTGAGCTGGCAAGCTTTCTCATTCATTTTCAAGTAAAAAATCCAAAATTAGCAAGCCCAGTGCCATAGCAAGGGTCTGGCCACAGAGACGTGACCAGACAGCTTCCACATGAGGAACCACAGAGAGCACGCAGGGCAGGTTCCCATTTGTCTTTGCATGTCCATGAAGACACGTGCCCTCTTGTCCCTTCTCTGGGTGAAGCTGAATATCAAGAGTTAGAAAGAACCTGTTCAAACAGGGGCTTTCCTCCCTGCTAACAAACTTTGTCCACTTCTCTCAACCCAGTGATATATCCAGATTCAAGCATACTCTTCAGGAGTACAAGATGTACAGGGACTTCCTCTATCAACTATCTCCGAAAGAGTGGCAGGAGGAACATGGAAAAAAGCACACAAAGGAAAAGGATTTGAAAACAACACACAAAGCTAATGAAGAAAGTGCCTCGCCTCCCACCACCGCAGAGCAGGGTGAGTGCCAGGGAAAAGCTACCCACTCCTCACTGGGACAGCTCCATGCTCTAAGTGTACATCTCTTCTTGTCTCCAGGCCAGGGTCTGACAGCCAGGACAAACGCTGCCAGTCCCTATAGTACCAGTTATATAGACGTGCCAAGTTCCCTGCTGTCTTCAAAAAGTTTGGATTTCAGGTCATTACATGAGATCAGGCCACAGCTCAAAAATTTCCTGAAGCCTCTATCAACAAGAAAACTGTAAGTACAAGACATTGGAAACAACAGACTTAAGTACTGTAGAGAGCACTCAACTGACTGGGACTCAGTATAGAGGAAACCTACTCCTCACCTTCACTGTGAGCACACTGAGATCTGGGTCTTATTGGAACAAATGAAAATACCAGTAGAAAGCCATCAGGTGTGCAAGTCAGGACCTATGTACCTACTCCAACAGAGCCTCATCCTCAAATCCTCTGCTGAGAGCCTTGCCCAAAGAATTTGGGCCTTGAGGTAACCCCAGGAGGAATCATAGACCTTGGGCATTTGTCCTGGAGCAAAGCTTCTCTGCAGCCTATTTGTGGCTGAGATATTGGTTCCCACTGTTGGTCACAGCCGCCATGCAAATAGCTGCCTGTTGTTTTGCCATTAATGAAGGTCTGAGGCCACTGTAGACCCACATTGCATTGAGCGTCTACTTTCAGTAAGAGCCTTCAGCCAGTATATGCTGGGATACAGGCAGAGTAACACTGCTGTAATGTAGGCAGGGCCAGCCTAAGAAGAGGAGGGGGAGTATGAGACAAGTATGACCAGTTCCAGCTTCTTGAGGCAAAGAAAGCAATTGTCTGGAAAAGCAAAGCGTGAGTGGCTGGTGAGTTTCCTAAGGCCAAAAAAACTGGTTACCAACAGGGTTTGAAGTAAGTCATTGCTTGCAGGGCCATTTCCCCTGCCTCCACTCAGAGTGTTGCAGGTGCCAGGTTCTCCCAAGCAGGGCTGGCGTGTGCCACCCCTTGTGAAGCCACTGCAATTACTGGGCTGCTGCCACATGGCAGGAACGATGTGGACACAAGTGGGGCTGGCACTAAGATGATGCAAATGGAGGTTTTTCACCCCTCCATGGCACAGGTTGACAGGTGCAAGTGAAGGTGATGAGCAGGCTCTGCTGCCAACATCAGTCAGGCACCTCTTGCCTTGCTCTTCCAGCTCTATGAGCTGGCTTGTCCCTGGGGCTGAGCAGGGAAGAAAGAGGCCCCACTGCTGGTTAATGGTAGTAGGCTGTGCAGCGGAAGAAGCAGTCAACAACCTTCTCCCAAGGCAGGTAAAAACTGCAGACTCCCATGGTGGCTACACCATGTTGTTTAGGAGCAGTACCACATCCTACACGGAGCACAAGGCTTTCTCTACACTTGCTGTGCTGCTGCCTGAGCCTTTTTAGTAAGGCTCTTACCTCTGCCTTCTCATTGCCCAAGAGCCAAATCCTCCCATCGAGTTTAAAGGCGTTTGGATCAACACCCTCAGTTCAGGCTCATGCTTCGTGTCCCGACCCTGCTGGCCAGCAGAGCCCGGAGCAGCTCAAAAGGCAGCTTGCTTGTGGACAGATGTAGCTCCCACGCTGCATGTTTGTGTGACCCCTCGCTCCTACTGACCCCCAAACAGCCCACAGCCACGGGGGGGCAAACGTGTGAATGTGCAAAGGACTGTTCAGGAGCAAACAGCAACAGCAAAAAAACCCAGTGTTCATAATTCACTAACAAGGTCTCCTTTGAGCTATCATTTCTCTAAGGGCCTGATGCACAAAATGCTTTTTCAGAAGTTCATTGGAGGATGCAGAAAGTGAAACCTGCTCGGACGAAGATGAGGTCAGGAGTCTCATGTTGAAATATTTACACTTTCTGTTTGTCCTGTGTCATTTATTGATGTTACTAATTTCTCCCACCTTCTAACCATTCATTACGGTATTGGGGAGTTACTGTAGCCACTAATTATAAATGTTTGCTTATACATTCATAAATGTTCATGTTTTAGTAACACGTATTATAAATACCTTATTTTAACTTTCCTCCTCCACTTTCCAAAAACCTACCATGATCTCAAAGCTTGCCATCCCCCAACAAGATATGATATCATATAACAGGAGATTTTGAAATTAATGAAGTTAATGTTTTATGTCTGAAATTGAAGTTTTCCCACTCACAGATGTTTGCACCACTTTTTACTCCCCAAAATACAACTTGTTTTGTGGGTGAGCTACTGAGGCAGCGTAAAGCTACGCACATGGCAGGAAGGTGGGAGACGTTTGTCCGTGGACAGTCACGGACCTCTCTATGTGGGAGAGCATTTGAACAGCCAGGGCTAGTGCAGACCAGCCTCCATGTAGTTCAACGGAAAAGAAACTAGAGGAGGACAAAAACTCATGGCATGTGTTTTCCACTCCAGGAGCCTGAGTTGTATTTTACTGATCCCCAACAACTGCTGTCTATTTTCACGGAGATGGAGGAAGAGAACTTGTCCTTGATCCAGAATTCCCAGGAGATCGAGGAAAGTTTGGACAAGGTCCAACACACTTTCATCACCACACATGAAAGCATGTAAGTGTGATCCTGCAAGTGGTGGGAAGGGGTCCCTGTGCCCCAGCTTTCATAAGTGACCCCCTTCCCCTCACTAGCACCTTGCCATCAGGCTGCATGCTGCAGACTACACGTAATGCTGTTCACGCAGCACACAACAAAGAGTGTCTTTCTCATACCTTAGAGCCCAGCTGCAGCCCATCCAGCTCACTCACCATCTTGTGAGCTCCTAGGAAAGTGTCCCATCTATGTAGTTTAGGAGATAGGACTTGAGCTTGGGACTAGTTCCTTAGTCCTCAAGGCACAGGCTGGGGAACTGATGCATTTAGCATCCTGGAGTGGACATAAGCCAGAAGTAACGTGTAATTCTCATGAAGAAAGATCAAAGGAAGAAACAAGGCATGTCCTGGAGTAATTCAGACCAGCACCTATTCCGACTCAATGCAAAGCCTTCCTAGAGGAAGCCAGCAGGGAACCCAAGTGTAATTGCAATATAGTATTTCAATGGCAGGTAGACACACATATTCCCATTTAAAGTGTAGCTTATCCCCTTGTGAAAGTCTTTAAAGGTAATCTAATTCCCCCATTGACCTATTAAAAAGTCTTGAATGTTTAGCTATGCTAATTCTCCCTCCCCCACACCAGCACAGTAACTGTTACTCCAGAAAAATCACCAGTTCCTTCTGCTCTCAGAGCTGTGGGTGCAAGTTCCCCAGAAATGGCATGAAGCGTTGCCTCCATCTGCCGGCAGCAGGAGGGACGGTCCCAGGCTGGAAAGCAGCAGAGGAATCGTGTTTCAGAGATGCCCTTTCAAAATACCTCCTTTCTCTTCTTGCCTAGGGAGAAGAAGTTAGCAGAGCTGAAACAGCAGGTAGTCACCCTCAAATCCTCCATCGCCAAGGAAGAAGAGAAAGCAGCAGATCTGAAGCTCAAAGTTCACCTCTTTTCCTCTGGAGAATACAAAGCTGATGACCAGGTACATCCTGAGATCAAGGCAAGGGGGGTTAGCATGCATTCCTCTCTACCAGCCATATCCATCCTGGGAAAAAAAGCAGACAGTGGGTTGCGCTGGGGAGGGATCAGCACTGTTTCTGAGCAATGGAGCTATAGCAAGGGCAAGTTTGGGGCACTGCTGAGGCAGCAAAGTGGGGCAAATGCATCTGCTCCATGCAGCTGCTACAAGGTAGGAGTAGGGCTCGCAGAGGCAACCGGGCAGCTGCAACCTGTCCCAGGCCACAGCAAAGCTGGGAAGATGAGACCAACAGAAGAATGGCTCAATGCAGCCGTCTACCCCAGACACTGGTGCTAAGCAAACCAGGAAACAAGCAATTGAGTCTTGTTAAGGGAATTAAAGTGTATTGATTTCCTTTGCTTTTGGAGGGATGTTGTGGTTCTGCTGGGCAGAACCCAGCCATGCTTCTCACCATATCTCCTCTCATCTCTAGGACAAAATGCTCACAAGCCTGAACAAGAAGGTGCTGGAAGTCTATTGTCACTGCACTGGAGAAAATGAGGCAAACCTACCGACAGTGCAGATGCTAATGGTGATAGAAAAGCAGCTCAATGATTTACTGGACAACCTGGAGAAAGTCCCACCAGCAAAGATAGAACAGGCTCAGAAAGCCAAAAAAAAGGAACGGAGGATAAGGTAAGACAAGACCCTCTTCTGGAAATGGGGCCTCTATTTTTAAATGTTGACAGCCAAAAGCAAAGCCACTGAAAGAGCTAAATTCGTCAGATTAACCCAGGGAACTGTAACAGCAATCTGACAGCCCATGTGACCAATCCATCCCATTTTACTTCTGTAAGGGTTTCACATTCATAGTACTTGCATCTCCCGATCAGCGAGCAGCAGCCCACAGCTACATTAGAAAAGACCTGGAAGCTACATTAGAAAAGGGCAAAATCTGGAAGAGAATCATCATTTAAGAAGGCAATCTGCAGTAACAGTATTTAAACTGATTAGATAGAAAATTACTCCTCTGTAGTTATTTAACACACTCTAAGTCTGACATGCCTTGTTATTTTGTCAGGCTTCAATAGGTACATAAGGGCATTTGTCAGCAACGCCAGCTTTCAAATGTTTCTTCTACAAAACTCTCAAGTTGAACTTGTATTATTAAATTAAGTAGTAGCCAATTAACACAATAAATTTAGGTTCTGAGATGAGACACATTCCTTTTGGCTCAGTTACACACATTAAATTTCCCCTCACAAACAGCAAAGATGCAACGGGACAGCTGATTGTATCTGGCCATCCTCAGGTGAATCAGATCCAGCACAGGAAAAAAAAGATAGTGCAAGGATTTAAAGCCAGAACAGTGACATTTCCCTCCTACTTACTCTCTTCCTCTGCATCTTTCCTCACCTTTGTAGTAGAAGGGTATGATGCTTCTTCCTGATGTTCTGTGAATGGTTTTGCACTCTTAACTTACAAAAGAAAGAAGACACACTGGGGATGGAGGAGAATTCAGGAAGAAATCTGACCCCCGCAAATAAAAAGCAAAAACAAACAAACAAAAAAAGCTTCAAAGAGCATTTAAAGTTTTCCTGAAGATCACAAGGTTAAGAATTCATTTCCTCTCCGCTGCAGTGTTCCATAGCTTGAGCCCATTTCTGTTCTAGCGCTTCATTTCCATAGGGAATTGGAGCCAGTTAACAGCATCAGCCTCCACCGTGCCCATTTAGGCAAAGCGTAGCTCCATGGATGTAAAACCCTCTTACATCTGTACGTCACAGGCTTGGTTGCACTGGTGAGAACTTAAGACACAATACGCATCATTCAGCCACAAAGGTGGTGAGCATCCTGGTCAACTGTAGAGCGTAAGGCACCTGCTGAAGGTGGTACAGAGCATGTCTGCAACAGAGAACAACCGTCTGACACCTCCATTTGCAAAGCTTGACATGCTTTTTCCACCCCTCACTCCAGAGAGTAGGATCAACTGCAGCAAGTGTTCCCCTCTTACCACCTTCAAAGCAACAAACTCCAGCATCGGCTATACCAAACCCCTGTGCTCCGGTGGTCTTACACTCAGGTGTAAGATGTAATGTTAGATGTTGATGCTGTGTGCCAAAAGCATATTCGGTGTAGCTGCACACCACATTTAACCCATCCTTTATTTGCTCCCTTCAAAAGGCTCAGAGAGGAAAAGCTGAGACAACAGAAGCAGGAGCAGGAGGAAAGATTGCAAAGGGCCCTGGAAAGATCACAGGCAACTATAAAAAAAGAGGTAAGCGCAGTAATCCATAGAACACCTCGCCTCAACAGCCCACTTCAGAGAAGCTGGGGGTACTTGAGCATCAAGCATTCAAGGGAAGAGTGTTACTAGGGGCCTCCATAGCTGGGTGGGGATGGCACCCACTCAAGTGTAGCCCAATTTACAGGACTGATGTAACTTAAGCAACTGCTGGCAAGTCAGTTACACTGCAAGTTATTCTAGCTCAGTGTCCTTCCCTCGTCCTTATCCTATCCTTCTGTCTTGACCACACGGCCCCCTCTATTACTTGCCAATTTTCTCAGTAAGCTCATTTCAACTTGTTAACTTGGCAGTATTAAAAAAAGCGTGCAAATCAGCAAATGAGGAACCAGGCAGCAGCAAGACACTCCCAATAACGGGAGCAAGGCCCTAGATCAGCTCAGCCATACCATCAAACCATACCTTTTTTGGCATGTTCCACATTACGCCAAACTGAGCTTTGGCCCCTCAGGAGGCACAGCGCGGAGCTTCAGGCCACGGCTCCCGCTGCACGTTTCACAGGTCAACACAACAGTGAGGACATCCCAGTTCTCAGTCACACACCAAGCCGGTGACAGCATGGGCGATTGAGAACAGGCACCATGAGTCCCTGCCCCTTTACCCAAGGTAAAATAAGAGGGTTCTGCAGGCTCCCTCAGGTATTTCTTTGGACTTCCAACTCGCCTTCCTCTTGAGATAGTACAAATAAGGCTTTAGCCAGAAACCAGCTGCAGGTGCAATAGTACGTTGTAGCAAGCTGAAGGATGAGCACGTGCACAGCCTTCAGGTGCTTCACACTCATTTTCTAATAGAAAAAACACACTTTATAGACACACTGAAACCTGCCTAGAAAAGAGACAGCAAGGGGCCATGGACCCTCGAAGCAGGAGAGCCTGGCAGCATGAAGCAACTTTAGCTGCGTGGTTCAGACACGCTACTCCAACACAGCACTGATGCACGTGCCTCTTCTTCCTCTGCAGAGTGGCAGGAGGCTGATGTTCCGTTCCAACCCCCCTGCCAGGAAGGAGAAGAAAAAGCACAGCCAAGAACAAATGGATAAGGAGAAGGAAGAACAATTCTATTATTTCACTTGACAGCACAGCCTTAACCACAGCATGTAGAGCTGATGCTGCTCTAGAAAAAGTTTTTCATAGATCTACATTCTGTTAGTCTTTGCTCAGTTGATGAACTTCACAGTCCCATGAAATTCCCTTCTTCTCCTACCCTAAGATCTTCTCCTACCCTAAGATCCCAGGGAAAGTTACTGTGTCAGGCAACCCCTTTTCCTCCCATCGACCTTTTGCCTAAAAAAATAAATTAAAATTCTCTCATTTTGCTCCTCAGGCGCCTGCTAGCAACAATGCTTTTCTCATTCAGTTTTTGAACACAAACAGCACTATCCCTACAAACCTGACTAGTGAGATCTATCGCAGTCCTGGGTAACAATCTTTGTTGAGGCATGACTAAGCCAGGCACCTGCCAGACATTTATTATAATGGCAAATCTGTTGAAGGACTATAAAAAATGAAGGCTACGCTTTAACCCAAAGGAGGGGTTTCATTACAGACTCTACCCCACTGCTGTGGAGAAGACACAAGTGAAGGAAAAACACAAGCTCTGCAGAAATCAAGCTGCTAGCAATTAGCTTTGTGTCAGATGCATCCATACAAAGAACAATACCCAGTGACAAACTGACCATAAAAAAAAAAGCTTTATTAACCCTTTTGCACCAGCAGTTCTTCAGGTATCCATTGCCAGCAATGGAGTTCAAGCCAAGTGATCCAATTTTCGGCCCCAAGAGGTTAGCACTTTACATTCACTTACAAAGCTGAGTGAGGTACATTTTCAGAAGTAGGAAGATTTGGTTGCAAGTCCCATAAAAAGATGGAGTGTTCCTTGGCCATTTTAATAGATTAAGAACTGGTATGGTCCTTGAGAACAGAATGCTGCAGGCATTGGGAGCTCGAGGTGTCTCAGCTTCCAGGGAGAGCATGGTGACCACCAGAGCAAGACCCAGTAGTCCCTTCAGCATGATTCCTCCCCATCTTTTCTACCTCTCAGGAGTGGACTCCATGCTGCAGTCACAGCCACCAGGTAGATGATCTCATCTACCAATTAGTTTGGTTTGGAAACCCAACCTGAGAGGGTTTAAGAGATTCCCTGGACATAAGCTGTAAACTCAGAAAGAGAGGAACAGAGAGACCTCAATGCTCAGTTAAGCTAAAGATAGAAAAATAAAACTGGTTCAACCAGCGGATATAATACTGCCTACAAATCAGGATCTGAAGGTGAATGTAACCTGTATGCTTTTTTTTCCTCTCCAAGTCTTCAACCAAAAAAAGCATTTATCTGGACACATACATAGTTCAAAAGGCACAGGAAGTAAAAGCTTTTCTGAATGACCTCATGTGAATTCAACATCAGTATAACTGTAAAATAAATAAATATGTGCAAGATTAGAAAGATCACAATGTTCTCCTGCATGACATATCTTATTTTGTAAAAAAAAAACCAAAACAAAAAACCCCACATACGTGCATACACACACACACCTCATTGAGAATAAAAAACAGTACATACACCCTTTTAACAAACTCCTATACGTAATTTTATAGGCATTCAGTACATCACCATAAGAAACATTTAAATTACTACCTTAAAATGTAACCAAAGGGGTTTTTTTTCCCTATACAACCCTATACTTATTTAGGTGTCTGCAATCCAGATAAGTACAGTACATACAACCTCTCCCCCCACCCCCAAGAGAAACTGCAGTTTTTCAGTGGGGCAAATCTTCCTAGGTAACAATTCTTTTCCCCTCATAAAATACTCTGACAACTGCATATTCTGTAAACCAGCCGGAAGCTCCACGTGCATGTGACACACTGGCGTATCATAAAGAAGAAGTGTTAACAGTGTTCAGTTGAAAAAAAGAAAAAAACAAAACCCAAAATAAAAAGGTAGTGGCCAGTTTACAGGTAACTTGGCAGCAGTTCATAGGTGAGATAAAATCAAGGTGCTTAAATTTACGCGACAGTCAACATTCCTCCCAAAAAAGGGAACACAAAGATAGACCGAACCTCTCTCAGATGCTGTTGGACTCTTAGCTAATTACTTACAGTGAGTACAGTTCTATTGCAGTTTTCTTTTTCAAGTTTTGCTGGAAGAATTCAGCAAAGTATTTGGGACACAGGAGCAAGGAAAGGGAGAAACTCAACATGAGCTACAAACTGATTCACAGCTAAGTTAACAGTTAGAATCTAGCTTTCTAAAACGAAGATTTTAGAGCATCTCATTTTCATGGCATAGGACATTAATTTTGTTACATGTGACACTTCATTCCAGTTTTCTGCCAAAACACAGGGGCCGAAACAATTATTTTTTTGTGTGTGGAAAACACTTGCGAATTTTAGCTCTTAATTCCTCAATGCCACTGGCTCCAGCAGGAAACCGACACAAGGAAAGTTTTAACTGTTGTAGGCAGGATTATAAATTTGTACTTGTTAGCTGTAGAATACTTGCTTTCCTGTGAAAACAGTAAATATTACCTCAGTTTGAAGTTTGTAATACAGTACTTCTCCCTGAAACAACACTGTACAGCAGTCTGCCTCAGTCTCTCCAACCACCAGGCAGACAGGGTATCTTACACAGGCACATCAAGTGGGATTTACATTTTTTAAGAAAATCCTTCAGCTGCAACTGTCCTTAGCAAATTGCGAAGAGTGCAACCGTAATCCAGTACTCCTAGTTTTCATGTTTTCCTTGGAAAAAGACCCACACGGTTATCTCACTCTGTCAAGACATGATTGCCCAATTTGTTTTCAAGTAACTGTTCTTAATAATGGTCATTCCAGATCCTGTAAGTTTATTGTGCTTCCAGTGAACTGAGAGTTATCAGAACCTGCATCATCTTCAGTGGAATTGTGTGGTTCCTGTTAAAGCAAACAGACAGCATGAAGAGTTCAGTGCTTTCACCCCTAGATGCTTTTAACGCATATCAGTAAGATTACCTTGACGTTTATCCAAGACCAGAGAAATGCTTTGAATGGTTTAGAGGAAACCTAAAGCTTTCCTACTTTGGGGACCCACTCAAACAGTGCCGCTCCAGTTTTCGTTTGGAACACTTCAGATGAGCATTACTAACAGTGATAAATTTAAAATCACTGACTATTTGCTTTTCCTCTATTAACTCTCTACTGTGGCCAACGATCCTAGTACTCTTCTTTTATTTCTAGCTTTATGACAGTAAGATGCTCCTCTCAAATACAAAAGCTTTATTTTCTATCCAGGAGAAGCACACTTGGTAACAATAACTGCATTGCAGAGTATCAAAACCAAAGCCCCACATGATCAAGTAGAAAATGTGGTTTATGTACATGCTAATCATTCATTGCTGTGTGGTTCTCAGCTGCTCCTACTCATTAATATGCAATTTACCAGAACAGCAGATAACAAAACGTTTATGCAAGAAGCTATATGAAGCTTTCTGCATTCAAACAACACTGACACTCAGTAGTTAACACGGCCAAGTAGTGAAATGAAAGACTGTAGAAGCAAGCAGGCTTTTTAATCTAACTGCCATTCCCATATAGACGCTGCTCTGAAAGCTAGGCTCAAGATTTTATTTTCCTCTTCCCACCCTTCCTGTAACCTGTTACATATCAATTCTGATCCTCTTTCTTGACCCACTTAATATCTGCAGTATGGGATCAGGAAAACAAGGATGGAGCACTTCAGTAATGAGTAACATTTAGTTATTCATTACTCAGTAACAGAGGAAGAAAAACAACCACCTATGGCATGTCAAAGGCTGGTAACATGCACAAGATAAATCTTGCAGTGCAGCTCTCTGCTTACTGCTTCTTGTAAGTGAAATTAAACTCCTAGTGGAAAACAAGGTATTTTCATTAGGCAGAACACCAGTGTTCAAAAACAACCTCCTATGGCATGTCAAAGGTTGGTAACATGCACAAGTCTTGCAGTGCAGCTCTCTGCTTACTGCTTCTTGTAAGTGAAATTAAACTCCTAGTGGAAAACAAGGTATTTTCATTAGGCAGAACACCAGTGTTCACAGTAAACTCTCCTCCCTTTCAAGCTAGGCAATAAAACCCAACAGCTCTGACATGCTGTACCTGAAGTATGTGAACAGGTAAATCCACTGTAAGCTGAGAATGTGACGAGGAGGACTGAGAGCTCAGCTGAAAGGGCAAATCTCCCTCTCCTGGGGAATCATCCTGTGAATGCAGAAACATGACGCGGTTACAAGACCCCCAAGCATCTCAGCACAATATGGCAAATTTCACTCAGCCTCACAATCTTAAAAAAAAATCTGATAAAGCTACTGCACTGTACTAGTAAGGCCCAGATCCACAAAGATATCTGGAAAGCTAACTACCACTTAAATCTGAACCTAGCTCAGTGTACAACCTATTATCCTACCATAATCAACTTGGAAAATTGGCAAGATCTGAAACAGAAGGAACAGCTCATCTTCCAACAAACATAACACTCAGAAATATGCAACAAGTTTCATCATGTTGTGTGAAACTGATACTTAACATAAAAGTTACAAACATTTACACCCATCAGAAAAATAGATAGAGGAAGAACTCTGCCCATAGCTGCTTCCATACCATGTGTTGTTAGGAATAAAGTGGAATGAACTTACCGTCACTCTGGATATTATACAGATATACACCTGCCCAAAAACATATTACCTGCTGTGATCCACTAATCAGCCCACATGGACTACTAAGGTATTTTTAGAAAAAAATCTTAAGCTTCATTTCAACAGTTCAGAAAAATAACAGTTTAGGCTGAAACTTCATTTTGCAGGAATCTTTTCATGTCAGTCTCATTTACCTTGTAAATGAGAGAGAGGCGGAGTAATGTAAGAATTTGGGGGGGTGTCAACAAAGCCTGGAGGAAAAAGTCATACTCCCGTGCATCCTCTACGGTAACACATGCTTGTTATCCTTTCCTTATGGAAAAACAATTACCCCATGTTTTGGGACAGGAATGTAGCACCTGTTTTGCCGCTCTCATAACTGCTTGTCCAAACTGGAAAAATCCTAAGCCCTTGAAGGATCACAACTCTCACATGCAAAACAAAAGTTTGCTAAAGCTCTTAGTTTACCACCACAGTGTTTCCTACGCCAAGTGTATCCAGCCTAAGAAGCCAAACAGGATGTTCTGCAGAGTTACGGTGCCCCTGTGTTCCAGGCTGGACTGAAGATTAGTACTAAACCAAATAAAAACATCTTACACATTTCCACAATGCATCTGTTTGGGCCCCCAGCAGTTGTATGATTGAACCAGCTCTGTTTTCAGGCATTTCCAGACCTCTCAAAAGCCAATTTCATATAAACTTCCCAGGAAAGTGCTTCTTGTGGGCAAGTGCCCTAACGGACATGGTACATACTGCAGATCTCAAAATCCCATCTAGGGGCAGTAGTACCCGAGTTCAGAGAGTCAGATTCTTCCATAAATGTGTCAGTTTGGGTAACAGAGAAGATGGGCATGTTTTTCCTCCTCAGCTCTTACCTGAAGAAGCTGAATTTGCACATACTGGGCTCCAGTGGCAGGGTCCCTTATTGTCAGCCCTCCGTTTGGCAGAACTATGTTGCCACCCAGTCGACTGCCAGGAGTGGATGATGAAAAGTTGGTAGGGCTTACTTTACCACCCTTGCTTTTCCTCTGACCAGAGCCAGATGCCCCTAAAAGAGAGCAATTTTAAAATTTAGAAGGTCAGAAGCAATTTGCCAAAGTTTCCTGCCAGTATTTTTCAATTTTATGCAGTTATTTACACTACACAGCAAATGCCTGAACAGTGCAATGTAATTAAGCACCATCTGATAACTGCTAAAAGGCCAGACAGCAGTCAGCTGATGAACTCCAACTGCTGACTGAGCATCTTTTCACATGAATGCCATTAAAACCACATCACAAACTGCTAAGCTTAGGGCTCACCCCTCTGGTAGCACAGAAATATCAGCATATTTGTGGAGTTACAGAATGGAATTAGGAAGTAGAATTGCATTTTCTATTTTTAATTTTGCAACTCATTTCCTGAGAAGTCATGTATATCATTTTTCTAAACTGTAAAAAGAGCATAGTGAAGCTCATCTATTTCCAGAAAGATTTCAAGGACTGTTAGGTAGAACAGGCTACAGAAGTACAACTATCACAACTTTAAGTATTTTTCAGTTTAAAACAAGGCAAACCAGCTGCTTGTATCGCAAGTTGAAAACCAAAAACCTAATCAAAATAAATGTAAGAAGACAATCCTGTCAGCTGTTTCAGGGTTTTTTGTTTTGTTTTTTAGATCTAGAGTAAATAAAAGGCTTGGATAACTTCTTTTTAAACACTGAACTTTGCTCTACAGTGTTTATTCACCCTAGTTAAACCAATTAGAAATACAAGACTCTTTAGACCACTTTGAGAAGCACATGGTAGCATTAAGGCAACAGCTGGTGAAAAGTGGACTATGGGAGTCTTGAGTAGGAATAGAAATAGGAATTTTCTGAGGCCACTTTAGGAGACATGCAGATTAAGCGCGATCATTTTTTTAAACTAATGTCCAAAAGACATGTTTGATGATACATGCACATGTTTGATAATACAAGCACACTTAGAACTAGCTTCAGAAAGCAGTTATCCTTCCGTGTGATGATTCACTGAACCAGACAGAATTTATGCAGGTATACCTTTTACAAAAACAGAAACATGACAGTGCTCAATTCAGAACTAGTCTCTTAACTGACCTTAAAAATTATCACCTTGATTTTCAGAGGTGGAAGGTAGTAACAGACAGCAAGGAAGAACTAAACTATACATATATATATATGTATATATACATGAATGATGTTCCACCCCAGCCCCAAGGGTAGACACAATTCAAACGCCTGAGCTCATGCAAGTCTAGTGAGCCATGGACCACGTTTGATCTGGCAAAGTAACGGTGTATAATTCACATCAGGCACGTTTGAGTCAAACTACAGTTTAAGAGAAAGAGGACACATTTGAAATCATGACCTAAACCTCACCCTGCACAAGAACTCTCTACACGGCTAAAATCTAAGAGAGAGGTTTGAGTATTTCTAGATAACTAAGAAATAGATTCCTTAATGCCGCATACACACTGTTACTAAGTGACACACAGAAGCAAAACAAATCCAGTTGATGTTTTCATTGTCTGTACTGGGTAAAAGAGAACCCACTAGGTAAGACCAAAAGCATAAACAACAGAAAGCAAAGTGACCTTTTTTTTTTGTTTTAATAAGAAAATAAAAAGCAGAGGAAGAGATGGAAAGATAAGTGTCTTGTTAACAATCATGAAACATATGGTGCAGATTTCTTTATAACTTACTGTGAATTTGATATTCCACAGAATGTGGTTATCCTAAGTAACAGATGGTACACCACATGCATTATTATGTTAACTAGCAATAAACCGGATGGGACGTTTAAGAATGTACTCAGATACCTGCTCCCATTTCACTGCCAAAACCCCTAAATAATTGTATTTAGTAAATTTAACAAAATTAACGTCTTCTCACCTGTGCTGCTCCCATTCCCTTTTTGCTTTCTTTTCTTGGCTAGCTGAATGGCTCTGTAGTCTGTTCTCGCAGACCCACTGCTCTCCTAGTAAAACAAACAAACAAATAAAACCCCAAGAGATGCAAAGTTTTTTGAATGCAAGAACAAACCAAGACAACGAACACAGACTAATGAGTTCTCAGTTGCAGTTATCTTTTACACTGCAAACACTGAATTCTCGTCTCCTGTGCTCTTCTGATTAACGCTTCAATAAATTCCCTGTACGTACTTAGTACCTGGAGTTCAACACAAAAGGAAGTTGGCTCTGCATTTCTAAGTGTTCAGATTTTAACAGGGTAAACGTTGACTTTGCAATGTAAATAAACAGTTAAGTCTGCAGTAACATAGTAAAGCAGAAAGGGGAGAGTACTTAAAATGGGAATGAGGACCGAGATGAAAATGTTTCAGTTACTCTCCCAGCCCAAATCCTTCCCTGGAACGAAATGCACAAGACATACCACGTGTTCTTGGGTATTCTTGTAAATTCCATTTCATCCTCAGACAGATGGCCGCTTACTTTTTAATCCCTTATTTTGAAAGGTTCTCCCTTAACTCTCCCCACCAGAATTCCAGTGTTTCTTAAGAGAACTTATCACCACACTGAATCTACTTCTGCCAGCACACTGTTCAACATAATGTTCTACATCCTTCATCAAAAAAACCCCAACATGCATGATCTGCAAAATCTGAGAAAGGTCTCCCTATAAGTAGCAGTGGATATCCCCACAGTCAGGGTGTCTCAAGTCATCTAGGGGTAAAACGAATACAGTTACTGCATACCAAAAATGAGCTGCCAGTCACTGTGCCAAGATCCATTTCTTTCTGTGCACTGTAGCTCCCTGGAGGGTTGGAGAAGACAAACTGTGTCACTACTTTGCTGCCCTCTTGTTGACCAACAACGTCCGAGCTAGGAAGCAAATTCCTTTCAACTTTAGTTGGTGTTAGTAACTCAGGCACATTGGTACCGCCGAGGCTACTAGAAGGAGTCAAAGTGGCTGTGTCAATTGTTAAATTATTGCTGGACGTCAAACTGTGCACATCTTGACTGGAATTCCTCACCGACAGAGATGCTAGCGAACCCAAGGCTTCTGCATTGACAGTCTGTACATCATCCAAATTTAAAGTGCTTTGCTGTAGAACTGTTGCACTGGTTCCCAGCAAGAGAGAACTGTCCAGGCTCTGTGGCATATCGCTGCTAGCCACCAGTATCAAGGGATCAACTGCCTGGCTTAAAGAATTGTTACTGACAGGCAGGTTTCCCCCGAGCGTTGAGCCCACCGAAGCAACATCGATCGTGACAATTCCAGAGTTCACTAGCGCCATGTCTGTTGCAATTCCAGAATTGCTACTAGACACATTGGAGAACAGGGATACAAGGTCTATGTTGCTGAGATCGTTCTGTCCTGGACTACTGAGTTCACTGCTGGGTGTGAGGGAGCTGCTTGCTTCAAGCTGAGTTAGGAGATCTGGAAGAGAAGGGGTTGGTTATAAGACAGACCTTTCATCAGACAACGGGGAGGAAAAATATGAATGATCAAAGGAGGATGCTTAAAAGTCTAGATTCTCAGCCTACTAAAACACTTCCCAACTCCCCTGAAAGCAGACTTAAAGAAAAGCAGCTTACCGAAACAAGTTCACTCCTTTACTGAGAAATTTCAGTTACAAAAGCACTTGCCAAAAGATAACACTAAGGCAGTCCAGACTAAGCTAGGTTATAGAGGAGTGGAAAAATGAGTGCAAAAAGAAGTGCTTTTAGTCCTTGCTCATATTTTACAGATGGCATGGAGAAGGACAAGCTCTACCTCATTCAAAAGAGCTGCAATTTCTCACAGTTTCACACAGGTCAAGCTCAAGTCTCACTTTCTGACACTCGGTTACAAGTCCCACAGAAAATTTTAGCGGGGGGAAAACCAACTCCAGTCTCAGTGAAGATTCCGCCATTCACATCAATGGGGCTCAGATTTCAACATCAGTAAACACACTTTTCCCTTAATAAAACACTTAAGTTTTTCCATTGCACCCTCCTATAGTTTGAAATAAATACTTTACCTGGGCTGAAGTTATGCTGTTTGACCATGTGTGTCTTCATACTGTGTTTGGAAGTGAACAATTTATTACAGCTTGATACAGGGCAACGAGTCTTTAACGAGTCTACATCCTGAAGATGTTTTTTGGAGTGAATATACAGACTACTTCGTGCTGAAAATTTTGCACAACAGCCTACAAGAAGATATACAAGGCTTTAAAGTTTCATCCAATTTCAATTTGATGTCCATACTTAGTATCTTAAGAGAACAAATCAGAGTAGCTCTGCAGAACTCTATTTGCTATTTTGCAGCACCTATGCATACATTCAGAGGAATCAGAAGAAAGCCAAACATGCATTTCCTCATTTTACAACAAGGACATCTCAGTGGGTAGGATAGTTCAGCAACCTGTTTCTGACAACAAGAAACCCTTAAGTCATTCAGTGTAACGCACAACCTTTCCCCGCTACGGCATCTTAAATGTAAACTCTTCATGACAACTGCTAGCATAACCACTAGAAGCAGAAACAATCACCAAGTAGAGCTGCTTTACTTTATGAAGCAGAATATCCCAGATCAGACCCAAAATCTTTGTTCCTGGAGTCCTACTGAAGTGATGGAGGTAGTGCTAAGAAATGCATGGAGCGTCAGCAAGGCTCCTGTACAACCAAAACAGATACCATTCACATGGCCATCCACCACCCCAGCAGCAGAGACTACCACTGTGCAACCACTGAACACTCGAGATGACATGTCACAACAGCAAAACGTGGCCTTGAAGGTGTTGGACAGGACCACTTTTCACTATTTCTGATGAATGAAGTGAAAAAGCTGAGCTGCAGAAACTGAGTATCAGAGGCAGGATTTTCCAGAATAAAGCAGTTCTGATCATCATAAAGAACAAAATCAAGCTAGAGCATGAACCACTGTTTTCTCCGCAATCCATAAATTTGAGAATGATCACTCATTCAGTTATGCGTCTTCTGTTGAGTTTTACCTCTTCAAACTGTTAGAAGACTCACTCTAAATTGCTCTGATCCTGTAATAAGCTTGTGTTTGGGGAAAAGGCACACAATCTTTAGGCAATACACACACCGATTACCAGTTAGTACATACAAGAGTTGAACAATACCTTCTACTGGACACTCAAATGGTTTTGTACCAAGGTGAGTTATACTGTGGCCTTTCAAGTGTTCTGCTCTTGTGAAGGACTTCCCACAGCCTTCTACTGGGCACATAAATCTCCTGTCATCTTCATGTTTCCTACAAGGGAAGGAAATTGCCATTGGCGTGATTAAACCCACTGCTGCTTAAGTACTGAAAGAAAAAACAAACAAACAAACAAACAGCAAGTGACTTAGGACAGTATAATCAGAAAAGGCTACCTTTTATGTCTCAGCAGCTTGGACATACTGGTGAAAGACCAGCCACAGCCTTCAAAGTCACAGATAAAAGGCCTTTCACCTTAAGCAAAGAAAGGTTACGTTAATAATCTAATACGGAAATAGACACTGCTACTAGAAAAATCTCAAGAGCTGCTTGAATTGATTTAAAATGAGAAGACACAACCACCCTCTCCTGCAATTCACTGCAGAGTACTGTGATGCCCCTTCCCCATCGTACAATTGAGTCTTCTTTAACTCAAGGCCACCACACCTTTCCCTATGCATCAGGGAGCATAGATAATTACCAATCCATCTCATGTTAATCTGAGCTATCTTGAAGGTGCTTCAATAACTAATAGCAGCATTATTCAAAAGAGAAACACAGCTTAATTTTTTTTTTCTGTTTTCCTGACCTGTGATTATATGTTGATTACAATACAGTGAAGTATGTGAAGTTAGTTTCCATCACATCTATGAACTTTCACTTAACAGAAGTGACACTTTAAAAAAAAAACCCAAACAACAAAAGAGCAAAACCCACACTGTAAAGCCATGAAACCAGGAAGACAGAGGACAGTGGAGAGTACACATAATTGTTTTTAAAACATTAAAAGTCTGGATTTCAGCTTAGCAGCAGTCCTTGCAAGTCAGGAGTGCTTGCTTGAGTTGAAATTTATCTTCTTGCTGTTGAAAACCTTGGTACATACATTTCACATGAGAGTTCTGAGAGTTTTTTAACTGTTTTGACCAAGATTAGAATTTACACAATGTTTTGAATGTCTATGAACTCAGGAATAGAGCTGGGATAATTTTTCTGAACAGAGTTCACATGCCAAAAGCCACAGCTTTTGCTGTTCCATAGCTACTTTGCATTCGGCAAGTTCATTCAGTGGACTCCTACCCCGAGAAGGCCAAGAATCAAATGTTTTCACTGACTCCAAATAACTCATGTCACCTTTTCTGCCTTCATGACTTTCAGTTTTTCCAGCAAACTGAAGTCCACTCTCCACACATTATCTTCCGCGTACTTCCCCACGTACAAGCCACCCTCATGAATACCTGTGTGACTCCTCATGTGGATTTTCAGTCGGCAGGCTTTGTCATACTGCTTGTTACAGCCAGGGAACGAACAGGAGAACTGCTCTTGCTCTCTGAAGTGGGCTCGATTATGGGAGAATAACGCACTCACTGTGATAAATGTTCTTTCACAGCCTGGGGAGAGAAGGGAAACAACGCATCAGCTTGACACAGAACTGAAACAGGAAAACTGCTTTCTTTTCTCCTTCCCAACTTTTAGTGGGGGACCTTCGTGATCCTGTGTTTTCCAGGATATTAAATGCTGGCACCCGGTAAAACCAAATGGTGCAATCCTAATACATTACTCCCAGAGATTACAATTATTTAGCCAAGATGGGCAACCAAAACACGCGCAGTCCGGTTTAAGGCATACCACCGAAGACTTGTGCTGTGACTTAAGGCGTTTCACCACACGAGCACAAAGCCACGCGTGAGCTGACCAGCAGCATCCTCCAGCTCCCAAACTTTCCCTGTTGGTAACTGAGGTGGCGTGGAGCGGGGCCCTTCCTCAAGACTCTGGGGGAGATCCGAAGGGGAAGGAGGGGCAGCGGGGAGGAAAAGCGAGCTGAGCCGCCGCACAGAGTCAGGGAAGGGATCCCATCCTTACCCGGGCGAGCTATTTTTTGGAAGGGGAGGGAACCAAGCCCCAGAGGCCCGGCGGCGGCTTACCGGGGAAGTCGCAGCGGTAGGGCCGCTCGGGCTCCAGGTGGCTGCGGCGGCGG